TGATTGAGTTGATCAGGAAACTTCATTGCTTCAAAAATGTTAAACTTAATAACTTCATTTTCAAATTCTAAGGACAAAGTTCCTGCATCAACATCAATTTTGGCCTTAGCAGTTTTCAAAAATGGTCTGCCCAGAAGGAGAGGGATGCCTGAATAATCCTTTCCCATGTTAAGGACATAAAAGTCAGCAGGAAAAAGCAAGTCATTGACCTGGACTAAAACATCCTCAACCACCCCTTCAAGGTAAGTTAAACTCCCGTCAGCAAGTTGAATAACTACCCCAGTCTCTTTTAGTTCTCCTACCCCCAACTGGTCAAATAACTCCCTAGGCATGACATTGATGGATGCTCCTAAATCAAGTAAAGCCTTGGTATTCTCCAAATTTCCAATCTTACAAGGCACAGAAAACACACCAGGATCCTGACATTTCTGGGGAAGTTTCTTTTGAAAGATTGCAGAAATATTTTCACTGATGTTCACCCTCTCATCCCCTTTCAGCCTTCTTTTATTAGTGCACATCTCTTTCAAAAATTTTGCATATTTTGGAACATTTTTTATTGCATTTAAAAGAGGAATGTTTACTTGAACCTTTTTAAACATTTCAACTATTTCATCATCTGGTTCTTTACTGTTCTTCCTTCGATTCTGATATTTACTGGGGAAAGGTGGCTGAGGTTTGTAAACTGCCCTAGGAGTGTCAGGAGTCACAACAGATTTATTGTTGACCAATTCAGGGTCTTGGATTTTCTGTGAGTCAAGTTCCTTTTCCATAATTTCCTGAACCCTTCTAACATTCCCTAAGGAAGGTTCAGGAAGAACTTTGTTATTCCTAAGGACAACAGCACTCACATTCTCCTTAGGAGCAGGAAATGGTTGAACAGGTAACCTGTTGTTAATTTGGGCCTGCAAATTACTCAACAAGGTATCCTGGGCTGTTTGCCTTTCTTGCATTAACTTCATATTCTGATCAACCAGGGAGAACTTGTCCTCCATTTTTTTCAAAATTACTTCCAGCATTTGGTGTGTTTTATCAACAGGACCAGGAGGGTTGTTTAGATTGGCAGAAAAATTGTTGTTGTT